ACTGAGCTACTTTAATACCATCTCCGAACTTTCTACCACGACTCTGCTGTTCTTCGGCTGGTTCTTCCTGCATAAGTTGATTGACAGATGTCTCGTCCAGTCAGCGGTGAGTAATCCCAAACCAATGGCGCTGTCTCAAACTATACCTACCTCTTCTGGTTTGTCTGATTTGTCGTTGTGTTTTCTGACTTGTTATTTTGTTTTCGAATTTGTCATTGTGTTTTCTGACTTGTTATAATGTTTTCTGAATTGTTGTTGTGTTTTCTGAATTGTTATTTTGTTTTTTAGACTTGCATTTGCGTTTGTAATTTGTTATTTTGTTTTCAGAATTGTGATTTGTTTTGCACTTCTCGGCCACCGTAAATAGGTCATTAAGTATTTTTAACGCATTCCAAATTAAAATAAATAGAATATTGTGAATACATCGGACTACAGGACAGACTGGGGCAAGTTACCACAGAGTATATATTCCAGAAACTTTAAAGTATTGCGTTAAAATTGCATTTACATATGCGTGTTTTATCGAGCAATGGCCTAGTTAACACCTATTGTGTTTAAAACTGTCTTAAATAGAATCATTTTTGTGAATTCTGTTCTCTAAACTAAATTCCTAATATCATAATTTTTGCAATATAAGTAACAAATGAACACAATAAAACCACACTGACATTCATTAAGATGAGTCAGTTGTATAAAATAAACAGTTGATCTGTGTTCTCATGGCAATTTTAAATAAATATGAGTATTTTTCATAAATGTCAGGTTGGGGCTAGTTGTCACAAATTGTACCTTTTATAACTTTTATAAATATATGATTTAAAAAAATATTAAGTGATCAAAACATCAGTTCATCATCATCATCATTATTATTATTATGATATGTAATAGTTTTCTTTTACATTTTTTGCTGTTTCATGAATTGCTTACCACCACGGAATAAAATAAATAAATAAATAATAGTAATTGTGACTTTTTATCTCACTATTCTGACTTTTTTTCCTCAGAACTGTTTGATATAAACTCACAATTCTGACTTTTCCTTGCAACTGCGAGTTAATAGCTTGCAATACGCACCTTTTCTGACTTTGGACGTCTTTTCTCAGAATTGTAAGATATAAACTCAGAATTTTGAGGGGAAAAAAGTCAGAATTCAAGTCAGTTTAAGCTTTAAAAACATGTTTTGTTCAATTAAAGAAAGAGAAAAATGAGGAAACATCTGGAATGTTTCTAAATAAAATGTCAGCTTTTCATTGTAGAATTTGGTGCAGCACTGATCTGTTCAAACCAAAGCAGTAAAATGATTTAACAGTAAATGTTATTAAAGTGAAAAAAGTGAAAGTGACATGTGGCCAAGTATGGTTACCCATACTCGGAATTAGTGCTCTGCATTTAACCCATCCTAAGTGCACACACACAGCAGTGAACACACACACACCGTGAACACACACCCGGAGCAGTAGGATATAAAAAGCTAATGTGATTTCCTTCTTTAAAAATTGTGTGCTTCGTATATTCAGTGTATTGAAACGTGTCTGATGGGAAGTTTTCTGCACAGAACTGCAGAGAACTTGCCATATCCTTGTCCGCTGAGATTTCTCTCCATGTCTCAGGTCAGCACGAGCTGGTTTAATAATGTCTACAGGGGGTTTTGTTCAGACAGGGGGTCCAGCTGGGTCTGACCTCTGCTGTCTGTCTTCATCCGTATGGAGGTCTTCCTCCAGCTGAGATCAAACCAACACTTTGTTGAGCTGAGAATGAACAAATATCATGCTGGTGTCAACAACTTCCTTATTTCTCATTCGTTATTTCTTCTTACACACACTCACTTCCGTGCTAAACCTGTTGAGAATCGCTGTAGTAGGTAATGCTTGCATCTCTGCAGGTAGAGAGATCTGTGCTAACAGTGCAGTGTCATTTACCTGGTGCAGTGAAGACCAATGAGATTTTTAATGCTGGAAATCTGAAATCTGAAATAAAATGTGCTGTGTACATAGGTAGGAAGGCAACAAGGCATGTCTGAATCCAAAATTTTAGTATGTTATATGATGTTATGGTGTCTTGGTAGCTAGTGATGGGCGCTTTTGTGAAGCTTCAAAACATTTATGAATCATTTGTTTCGAACCAGTGATTCGAATTATGTATCAAACTTGAAACATGTCAGTAAACAAGAATTTGTTACATCATTACTATAAATTTGTAGACATTTTTGATGACACATTTATATATTAAAAAGGAAGCTCTCCATAAAACAAACAAAATACCCTACAAATGAATGAGATAACAGGTTTTTATACAGACACTTCATATTTAATGGTATTAGATGATTTGTTAATTGCATGTAATAGATTACACTTTCAATAAAACATTGCAATTGGTTTGTAAAAGGTGTTTTTATCCATGTTTGAACTGAGTTTTAGTTGCATTTACACCGTTTTGACCAGCAGGCATCACCAGTTTGTCGCGTTTCAAGCACTTTGAAACAGTGAATCATTTTGCGAAGCAATTGCTTCAATTGATTCAAAGTTTCAAAGAGCTTAATTTCTCCCATAACTATTGGTAGCCAGTTTTGCAAATGTCAAAAACTGTTGCAAAGTCATTGAAAAACTGATCAGCAAGGCTGATTGGTCAATACAGTGTTCCAGTCATCCTAAAATACACATTATACTAACAGCTACTGTATATACAGGCACTCTACTACAGTCTTTAACTGTGAATATGCTTACAATTTTGCTTAATATATCAAACGTAGTAAGAAATAAAGCATTACACGTGCATATAAAAAGCATTCACCCTTTGGGTTACAGTATAGAGCAATTATGCATTTATGCATGTAGAACAGTGTAGCCTGTAATATTAGAGTAAAAAGGTAATTAATTTCACTGAATTAATCAAAAATAATACAGTTATTGAATGCATAATTAACTTGATTTGATTGCACCAGCATGCAATTATGCACATGAAATTACATTAGTGCATTTCCATGGAAACACATCTTCATGAAGAACGAGGAACATTCCAAGACAAGGTTCCTGGGAAATCAGTCGTCAGGGGAAGTATCCAGGATGATTTGTAAAGCATTGGCAACACCTCCAGCTACCGTAGCCGGAAACACATCTTCATGAAGAACGAGGAACATTCTAAGACAAGGTTCCTGGGAAATCAGTCGTCAGGGGAAGTATTCAGGATGATTTGTAAAGCATTGGCAACACCTCCAGCTACCGTAGCCTACGGCATGCTGCGCGGTAATGCTGCTCTGCTGGAAACCTCATAAAAATAGAAAAAGTGGAAGCAAAGTACAAAGAATGAAAAGAAAACTTTCTGCAATCCACAAGGACACTGGAACCGGGAAGAAAACTCATCTACCAACAGGATAGCAACCCAGCAAAAGCAACAGTGGAGGGGCTTAAAACAGTATTCACATTCATACTCCATACTGCATAGTATATACTTTAAACTGCCTACTGTGTGACAGTATGCAACATTTTAAACAATAGTATGCTATTTTATGCTATGACAGCATGTGATATACCTTAAATCTGATTGATCGAGCAGCGTTACATACATACAGTTCAACAGTAGTTTGTATCATTCACTTGTCAGTGTTTGTTCTAGATTGTACAGGGACTCTTTCTGAAGGTTACATCAGTTTGCCAGTAGGTGGCAACAAATGAGTGCGTCAGCTGAATCCACAGTTTCCGAAGAGCGGAGGGAATATTACAGTTTTTATTCGTTTTCTGTGTCAGTTATGATTCTGTATGTCCATATGTCCATCAATTTACACTGTAATGACGCTTGCAAGCTGTGCTGCGAATCGATCGGTTTTAAACTAAAAGATGGAAAACAGACGTTTTCTCATGCTGAGAGATAAGCAGATGTCTGTGTGTGAGAAAATATCATGTATGGTGTTAAAAAAATAAATGACACACCGGATGAGAACAATTCCAACTCTGTTTTTATTTGAGCTCCATAAGAAAACTAAGCAACAGCGCATCCAATAAAGATGCAGTTATGACGAAGTAGTTTGTCCCAAAGCTTGCCTATACTCTTCTGCTACATACTCAAAAGTATGTACTTTTTCTTCACAAAAATAGTACATACTTTTAGGGCATAGTATAAGTAGGCACAGCAATTCTCTTGCCATTTGCTGTCACTGTCAGGAACTATTTTTTAGCGGAAGGACAGCATCTAACGAACTTACTTAAAAAAAGTAACAGTGAATAAGTCACGGCTGAAGGGCTTGCAGTGACTCCCATGCCTAACTTATTCACAATGCAGCATGCCTCGAGTACCTTATTGCTTACATATACAAATTTATTATTATTATTACTATATTTGTTCATAGTTTATTTCATGGTAGATTCTCAAGGCGAGTGTAAAAGAAAAAAATATACAAAATAATATACAATACAAAAAAAAAAATAACACTAATAGTATTGAAAAAGAATAGGCTACATCAACAAAATAAAAATACAAAAAGATTATGTGGGTAGAAAAGCAGCCAAATCAAATAAAGCTATCGGAAATAAAAATTTTGAAAATGCTGAATGTACAAGAATTGTTAGTTCTCTGGTTGTGTTTTGCACATTTTACAAATGCAGTTTGTCATTCGTGCATACAGAAAACATGAATCTATGCATTTAGCAGATACTTTTATCCAAAGCAAGTTACTATAGAGGAACATAAGACATCGTCACACAGCCAACAATATTGGTAGTATACAATGCTAGGCTAGATTAGGAAATGAGCTCCAACAGAGAAGATTTTAGTTTTTTCATGTGCATTGGAAATTCATATTTACACATCATCATGGCACTTGAGTGATAACAAGAGCAATCTGAAATCTCAGCGTCAATCGTGCAGTGCTTATAATGACTTCTCTAAAGAGAGAGAGAGAGCTGTAACTGCTGCCACAGGTGATCCATGAGTGTGATGAAGCACATACAGCTTCAGCAATCAAAATATGTTAAACAGACTGATGTAAGAGCGAGATGATGGAGTCTGTGTTAGTGCTGGGCACATTGACTCTCAGACAATAACACTGCAGCATTTTCGACTCTGGATAATCACCTTTATACCAACCAGTTGGAGACTATGCATATTAATGACTAGAGGAACTGTAGGACACACAGAGGTTCTCATTCCAAACAAAGAAAACAGATGGTCACGGTGTATATTCTCATTACAGAAACAAAGAGCAGAAATCAGGGAGTAATTACCAAATGTAAAACATATACTGTACAGACCAAAATGGCTCAGTTGCACTACAAAACAAAGATTATTGGAGTATATTTTGCAAGAAAATACAATTTCAGTCTTTCTACTTCAAAACTTTACCTTTAATTCAATGTTTTACCTGCTGTTTCTTTGAAAATGTTTGTAAAATTTACTAAATTGACTGTGAAGTTTTCATAAAATGTCAATCATTTTATTGATGATTTAATCAAAATAATTCCTGTAGCTATTATTGTTGATAATATAAAAATTCACCAAAAATTTAGAAAAATAAATCATATCATTGTAATATAATGGCGTATTATTAACATTTCTGCATACATTGAACAAGGTTTTTTTTTTTGCTATGAATTTTGTTCATCAGCTATATTTTATTCATAGCTTAATTAAAATATGACAAATACTATAAATATTACATAATATTTATTAAAATATGCTACCACATAATTTAGTGTATTTAGCCAATTGTTGGGAATTAATGGTGTTAATTAACGCAGCAACTTGTGTTTATCTGCTTTTTATAACAGTATCTTAATTGCTCACCCAATCAGAATTTAGGTTCAGATGTCATAACAGTTTTATAATGTGCAATGCTATCTACTTCTATGCACATATATTGTAGAATGCAGTACAAAATACAATGCAATGTATAGTTTCCAGTGCAGTACACAAACTGACACGGTACAGACAGATTATAGATAGATAATGCACAAATGTTTCTGATATGCAGCCTGACATGAAGCATACAGCAGACGTGTGGAGTGTGTCAGGAGATGAGATGAGGCATGCTTCACAGTGTCCATCCCTGGGGTTAGAAGAAATCTGCTCTGGGAGGGTATGACGTCTCAGTGGATCAGTGCTTCAGTTCTGCTTGAATTGCATTAGTCTCTTTTTAGTCTCAATTACGTGCTTATTTCCTGAAAGAGAGAGCGACTCTAATGCAGCACAGACATGCACATCTGTGGTGGGTTTTTTAAACCCCAGTCTGGACTCTTTTTGCTTTTCTATTTGTCATTATTCTTCATTTTTAAAAACAATCAAGATTATGATGATTTTTGTAGGCCTGTTATATTAATTGAGTGACTTCATGTATGCTTTCAAGCAGTATGCATTGAATGTCTTTGTGCTTGCTTTTTAAGAGAGAAAACATATTTTTTCAGTGCAATCAAATGTGTATCTAGTTGTTGAGCAGATTCTCTCCACAGTAAGAATATTAATGTCATCCTTCATCCTTATGAATGTGTGATTTATGACGCCTGTTTTACCTCAGACAGACAGAGAGAGGGAAGTGATGAGGCTTTACAGTGGCCTCGTTTTATTCCTTTTGTTTGCAGCAGGACTTACTTTTCAAATTAATTGAGTTTTTTAATTATATCCTATATTCTGTAATTCTGGCTACATTTGAATTTCTGTATGTTTGTTATTAATAATTAAGTTATTTTAGTGTCATTGAGATCCTATAATGTTTTATTAATATTTTGAATCAGTTTTTATTTTTATATTTTCCATGTTCATTTGAAAGTTTTAGTAATTTTGTTGTTTTTTTTCATTAGTAGCTTTTTTTTTTTTTGTCATTTAATGTCTATATAGTTTTATTCATTTTTATTTCAGTTTGTTTGTTTTCGTACATCACGTTTAAATCAAAAATGAGAAATGTAGCCTTGGCAACTAACTTTATTTTTTCACATTTTAATTTATTTCAGTTAACATTTATTTCAAGTAACAATGTTTTTTTTATGGTTTTTAAAATGTAGTTTCAGTTTTTGTTTTAATTAACTATAATAACCATTTCACTACAATAAATATTTTGAATATTAAGCCTTTTTCTTGCTGCTTTAATATGAATAATGTGCAGCAAAATAATACTTTGGAATGGAATTTATTATTATTATTATTCATTCTTTAAGTTTTAGATGCTGTATCATCTCAGTAAGGAAAATGTGAACTATACGCTAAATAATCAGAACATCTTCAAAGCGCTTCAAAGTGCTTTGATGCCCAAGCAAATGTAATAATAATATATATATATATATATTTTTTTTAAGGGAATTTTTTTTCCCCTTAGTTATTTTTATTATTTACAGCACAGCATTTACATCTACACACAGGAATTGAATATGTAAAATATGTGATATGAAAATTAAAATGTCTTGAAATAAGTCAAAAATAAGGTTGAATTGAATGTCATGAAATAAACCAAAAATAAAGTTTGAATTGAATTGTTCTTAATTGGAATTGATGGTTCTATGAGGAACCTTTAAAATCCATGGAACCTTCCCATTCCAAAAAAAATAGTGAAAAAAGGTTCTGTAATGAAGACATGGAGAACAGGAGTTTGCAGAAGCTGTTTCTCTCTGGAACATTTGAGTCCCTTTAGGCAGCTGGCATACACACACACTGTATGTGTTTGTGTGTTATGAATTCATTATATTGTTTGTCCTCAGATGTGTCTGCTTAATTATCTCCAGTCCTTTTGCAATTAATTTGTTTTCCTGAGCATTGGACTGTCAGACCTTTAAAAGGATAGTTCACCCAAAAATGAAAATTCTGTCATTAATTACTCACCCTCATGTCGTTACAAACCCGTAAGATCTTCGGAACACAAATTAAGATATGTTGGATGAAATCCGAGAGCTTTCTGACCCTGCATAGACAGCAACGCAACTACCACGGTCAAGGCCCAGAAAGGTAGTAAGGACATCGTTCAAACAGTCCATGTGACATCAGTGATTCAACTATCATTTTCTTTATTCAACAATTTCTTCTCTTCCGGTCAGTCTTCGCTGCCTGAAAGTATCTGTGTGAAGAGATTCACAGAACCAGTAGCTGATAAGAGAGAGCAGGATGACTAATGGTCAGTAAAATGCATATGGTATTGGTATCAAGTGTAGTTTTTAAAATCTCTCTTTCTCTTCAGCTCTTTTCACCGAGGTTCCTCATGACGTGGTCTCTCAGGCTGGAGATGATGTGGAGATGGCCTGCTCCTTCAGAGGTGTTAGCTCCTCCTCCGTCTCCTTGGAGATCCAGTGGTGGTACACCAGACACAGCAGAGAGTGGGCGGAGCAACCAGCATGGACAACCAATCAGGAAAGACTCTTTTTAGTTGTTCAGATTATATATATATATATATATATATATATATATATATATATATACTGTATATATTTTATTTTATATATATATATATATATATATATATATATACTGTATATAATTTATTTTACTTTTTGGAAAAATTATTTTAAAAAGTATAAAAATATTTCTAAATAAATTGGACTATTTTACCCAATATTCAAGCTATGTATTTTTATTGACATTAAGAATTTTTTTTTTCAAGAATATATTCAGTTTAGCACTTAATTTTCATTTTGAATGTGTGTGTACAGGTGGTTTCACAGGAAAACACACCAAAGGGGGCGACTAAAATAAGCGTGAGTTTTGCATTTTGAAATTTGTCTTAATTTGACAAAATGTAAGTGCTTAATGGTCAGGTTTACATATGCATTATATTCTGATTTATTCTATTTTTGCTTCTTCTGACATATTCATATTCTGACATATCTTCTTAACAAATTCACATCAGCACATTCTGATCAAACTAAGACTTGTTCCTGCTATTTTCTTGTTGAAATTAGTTACTTTTGCCGATTCTTTTAAATAATTTTTAAGTAATTCTGCAGTAATTTAATTATCTCATTAATTCTTATCCATGTCCCTGACAGCAACAAACAAGAGTGGAGTTACTTACAAAATAAAGGCCATGAGGGGCTTTTACCTGTCTGTATATTCATGTTCATTCATTTTGCTTTGTGAGAGAATCTGTCTCAATGTCGCTCCAAACATGCTTCTTCAGTAGATGGACTAATTTTAATTGGTGCACATAAACATGATTGGTTTTCTTAATTCACAAACTTAATTAGCTTACAAGGACTTGCTTTGTGGGAGTCTCTGATAGTTAAATGTTCTTGTTCAATAATCATATTTGTGTTTGTTTTAAGGTGGTAAAAGTGGTTGGCAGCAACATCTCACATAAGCTTCGTCTGTCTAGCGTCAGGCCATCAGACGAGGGAACGTACGAGTGTCAGGTCATCGACTTCAGTGAAAGCCGAGCCCAGCGGCACAGAGTTCAGGCGTATCTGCAGGTACAGCCAGACATCCTGAGTCCCGTCCACAACAGAGACCAGAAGAAAGAAGAGGAGAAGAACACGTCAGAGCAGAACGCAGGTCCTGAAGACCACCAGAAGGGCCACCATAAGAAAGAAGAAGAGCAGAGGACGTGGCAAGTGGCTCATCAGTTTTATAAAGAGGATCATCATCAGCTCCACGAGGGGAACAAGACAAGAGCGGGGAAGAAACAGCAATCAGAGAGCAGAGATGTGAAGACAGAGTGACTGTCCTGCTGAAAACTGCACGTGAGAAGAGAGACGCCTCGATAAACTAGAACAGTCCTGATGTTACAAACCATATCCTGACACAATTTGTCCGCATAATTAGTCTTAACATTAATTTTATTGCGAACTGAAACGGATTTGTGCTTCTTCTATCAAAAAGAACCAGCAATGTGTAGATTTAAAGGGATAGTTTGCCTAAAAATGAACATTCTGTCATCATTTACTCATCCTCGTGTCATTTCAGACCTCTTTGACTTTCTGACAAATTGATTCAAACTATTTAATAGCTTTTAGAATTGAACCTACTCACTTTTGGAACCATTTCTGTTTGCTGGTCATCTTAAAAACACTAGGAAGTCAGCAAACGTTTGTTTTCTTTGCGTTGCACGTCGATATAAAAGTTCAGGTTTTACTCCGGCTACACCTCTCCTGATTTTTTGGTCATCTGGTCATCGTAAGGAGAGGAGAAGAATAGGATGAATAAAACAGCAGCAGAAATGAGAGCTGATTATTAATGACTGAGAAGAAATGAAGAGGGTGAATTTAGCTGAGGGCAGAGAGTGACATATTAATGTATTCATTAAAAAGGAAGGACAGATAAGGACTGAATGTAATATATTATTTGTGTTAGTGATGTTTACCTTTACTGATCTATACTCCTACACATTTTATTTGTATGTGATTTTCATTTGTTTAGCTTGTATCATGACAAAATTGTGTTGCGCACAAGATGGTAAATGGCTGTGTGTGTGTGTGCTTTATAAGACTTAGAAATAGAGCTACATTTCTAAATGGGCTTTTCCATTAATGTTGAACAGTTGAACTGCAGTTTTCTGACGTTAAAGTGATTTTAATGATGCATCTTCTGTATATCCGCTTTGATGTTCTGTATGGAAGCAGATGTTTCAGTTATGTAACTTTATGGTATTTCTGAAGATACACTCTAAAAAACGGATAAAATAGGGACAAACCCAGCAATTGGGTTGTTTTGACCCAGCGGTTGGGTTACTA